TCTAGAAAACAATAAAAAGTTTGTCCTGCTAACCTTTCTAACATTTGATCCATCAAAAGTTAAAGGAAAATGATCTTTTCTAGTTGTTTGATTCAATTTTCTATAATCTATATACATTTTCCAACCTGTGACAGTCCTAGTAGGTATTAATTCATTTTTATCATAATAAATTACAGCCATACCTCCTTTTTTCGGGACCACCTGAACTAGGCTAACCCAAGCACTATCAGAGATAGGATGGATCATACCTGCATCAAGTAATTTCAATACTTCTTTCTTTACTACCTCTTTCATAGTTGGATTAAAACCTCTTTGAGGTTGTGCAACAGGCATGAAATCATTCTCCATGTGAATCTTGTGCATGCAATAAGAAGGACTGATTTCTTTGAGATCAGATAACGTCCACCCTATGGCCTTCTCATTCTCTTTCAAAACTAAGATCAATTTTTCTTCTTCAAAATTTGTTAAGGCATTGCTAATCACCACTGGTTTGTTACCTCCATCTGCAAGAAAAACATATTTTAAGTGAGGAGGTAATACCTTTAATTCCAGCTTCTAACTCTCAGTTTCATGTTCTTGTTGCAATTTTTCAAATTGTTGTTCTTTTACAGTAACTTCTTGTGCTGAATTAAGATGTTTTAAATATTTCTCAATTTCTTTTTCCTCCTCTTCATCAAATTCATCATTAATACCTGTCAAAGCTTTTTCTAATAGGCTTACTTTGGTTAGTTGCTTCCTTAAGGTCTTCCCAGTATAAGAGGAACTTCAGTGTCTTCCTCCATATCCATCACAACAAAATCAACTGGAAACATAAATTTATCAACTCTAACCAAAACGTCCTCCACCACACCATAAGAAAATTTTAAAGATTTTTCAGCTAGCTGCAGTGTCATTCTTGTAGGTTTTACTTCCAAGTCTCCTATTCTTTTAAGCATGGACAAAGGCTTTAGATTTATATTAGCACCCAAATCAAGTAATGTCTTACCCACTTGTAATGTCCCAATTGTGACTGGTATAGTGAAACTGTCAGGATCCTTGGGCTTTTAAGGCAATGATTTCTGAATGATAGCGCTGCATCCTGCTTCTAGCTCCACTATTTTTGCAGTAAATCTTCTTTTCTTAGTTAACAATTCTTTCATGAATTTTGCATAAGTCAGTATTTGTTCCATAGCTTCCATAAATGGAATATTAATTTGTAAATGCTTGAAAATATCCATGAATCTTGCAAACTGTCTTTCTTTATCTTTCTTGGAAGGATGATGAGGGTATGGTAAATTCTTTAATTGTGGTATTTGACTCTCATCTTTCTCACTATTTTTATTTTTTCCTTCTTTTTTAGTTTTCTTTTTCTTTTTCTCCACTCTCACTTTTATTTTTCTCTTTTTCTCCTTCACACTCATCTTTCTTTTTTTCATCCTCTTTTTCTTATAGGATTTCCTTTTCTACAGCCAGGTTGTCACCAATCCCTTCACCTATAACTTTACCACTCCTTGTAGTTATTGTTTTGGATTAGTTTGTGTGTTAGTTGAAAACTGTCTTCCTTGCTGTTCAGATAATTGTTTAGCCAGTTGGCCTATCTGAGTCTCTATATTTCTGAATGAAGTCTCAGTATTTTTCTGATTAGTCATAGTGTTTTGCATGAATTTTTCTAAAGTATCCTCCAATTTACTCATTCTGTCAAGCATTGAAGGATATTGTTGTTGCTGATATGGAGGTTGCTGATATGACTGTTGTTGAAATGTAGGTTGTCTTGCAGATGAGCTAACACCTTGCTTCCACCCAAAATTTTAATTCTGATTCCCTCTCCATCCTTGTGCAAAATTAGTCTGGTAATTGTTGGAATTAGGGAAATTACCTTGTCTACCTTGACTACTACCTTGAGCAACCATATCATTAGCTTCTTCTTGCTTAATATTGCCTTGATAAGAGCATTGTTCATTTGCATGATCACCTCCACACACATCACAACTCATTTGTTATTAGGAATGGATTGTACTGTATGCATTTGTTGAGGTAATTTCTCTATTTTCTGATTCAATGCTTCAATTTGTTAAGTCAAAATTTTATTCTGGGCTAAGATAGCATCTGAGGTGTTAAGTTCAAGAACTCTCTTCCTTTGAACTGGATGTCTATCATGTTGAGCTTGTTGGTCTGTAAATGTTAATGCATCAATAATTCTTGTGGCATGTTCAATTTCTACATCCAACATGGATCCTCCTACTGTAGCCTCTAATAGCATCTTTGCATTAAGTTGCAAGCCAGTATAGAAAATATTCAACCGAGCAATGTCATCAAATCCATGATTTGAGCATCTTCTCAACAGTGATTTAAATTTCTCTCATGCTTCACAAAAATGTTCATCTGCTCCTTGCCTAAAAAAAGTGATGTCTGATTTTGCTTTGATGTAGCGGAATGGTGGGAAAAATCTGTTCAGAAACTTCTCTTCTACGCTACTCCAATTACTCAAACTCTGATTAGGATGTTCATTCAGCCACTCCTTTGCCCTACCTGCCAAAGAAAAAGGAAATAATCTCAAATATGCAGATTTAAGATTTGCTGCTCTAAATCTCATGTTATCAATCAACTCATAAAAAGTAGACAAATGAATATAAGGGTCTTCATGATCCAGTCCAGTGAATTGATGAGCACTAATCAAGCTTAAGAAAGCTGGATTCATCTGCACTGTTTGATCGTCTGGTACGGCAATGCTAGAAAAGTGTCTGGGACCTTGCTGCATAACATAGTTTCTAAGAGTTCTTCTAGGCAGATTTGAATCTGGATTTTGATTTTGATTTGGATTCAGATTTGCTCAATCTTCTGTCATATCTTCTATAATTGGGTTTGGTAAATTAAGTGTGGAAGAAGAGTTAATAGATTCTCTTGTGGATTATTCTTGAGTTTCCCTTCTTCTTCTACCCCGGTTCCTCCGAGCTATTTTTTCAATCTCCGGATTCAATTCTAACTGCTCTAAAGATACTTGTCCTCTTAAACGCATAAATCAAAAGAGTAACTCAAGCAAAGATTAGCACAAGCCAAAACCTAAAACTGAAAAATAAAACAAACAAAAATAAAATACTCGATAAGATAAACAAAGAATTATCAAAGAACACTATTTCCCGACAACGGCACCAGAAATACTTGTTGAATTATTGACAAGTGTACCAAAATTATCAATCGCAGTATAGTATTTCAATTAAATAAAAGTCAATCCCACGATGAACAATTTCAATGGAAATTCCCAGTTTTATGCTTACTAAGTAGATTAAAACAGAATGGATTTTTTCTAAAGAGTTGAATTGAAATTAAATGACAAAGAACTGTAAATTGTTGAGAAAATATCAATTAAAGGCACTTAGGATTGGTTTCCTTCCTTATCCCTCTTTTGTAATGGTTATGTCAATTAAGAACGACAATTAACCTAACAATGTTGATGTCACCTACTCAAATCATCCATGTTGATTCCTCGCACAATTAAGAGATTTTTCAGCATTAGGTTTAGGGTGTTAAGCAATTGATACATTCATTCCATTCTTGGCATTTAATGTAACAAATATTCTTACCGTGATCTAGGGTTCAAGATATATTTTCCAATCATACCCCAAACATCAAGAATAAATCATTTCAAAAACATCAAAACATAGATTAATATCTCAAAATACCACCATGATACAAAAGAGTTCAAAGGAAGTGCACCCAATCCTAAGAGAATGAAGTTAGTCACTCATGTTGGCCATTATAATACTCCAAATGTGGAAGAAGCGAAGAATTGATGAAGATCGAACGAAACCCTAGCAGTAGTAACTTCTCTTCTTCTCCAAAACTCTTTACTTTTCTCAGAATACATCTTCTCTTTTTACAGGAAAAATTTGGATTTTTGGGTTTCGCGTCTTTCGCTCAAGCGAGAACTTTTGCTCAAGCGAAAGTTGTCTATTTTTGCTCAAGCAACAAAATGCTCGCTTGAACGAGTGAACTCTAGAGAAGAATAACTAACATTCGCTCAAGTGAATCTTCTTGCACTTCAGCGAATGACTTCATATAAGAATAACAAATATTCGCTCAAGCGAATCTTGTGTCGCTTGAGCGATTGACTTTCAGAGAAGAATAACTGATATTCGCTCAAGCGAGAGTCCATCCCGCTCGAGCGACTTCTATGTTGAAAATCTTCTTCCTTCTTCCAGTTTTACTCCAATTATACTGACAATTATGCTCCTTACTCTTGTATCAAGATATTCTCAAATTCATCCTATATTGGGAGAAAAATAGTTTAGAATTAACATAAATTAAGTGGTTTCATAACAATTCAAGGCATAATTCACTATAATAAAAACATCAAAGAGTGACAGAATTTTCAATCACTAAACGACCAAAATCAGTCACTAACTACAATAGTGACCGAAATAGTAACCAACTCAAATCGGTCACTATTTCCTTGGTCGCTGATTTTAGTAACCAAATCAGTGACCGAATTAGTCACTGAATCAGTGACCGAATCAGTCACCGAATCAGTCACTGAATCAGTGACCGAATCAGTGACCGATTCAGTGACCGAATCAGTGACCGATTCAATGACCAAATCGATGACCGATTCGATAATCGATTTTATGACCAAATATATGACCAAATCAGTTACTATATCGGTCACTAATTTTATTTTATTTTTTTATATTATTATTAAAATAATGATAGACCAGATTAAAGATTATGAAATACATTATATATTCTATAAATGACAACTACAATTTTAACAAGGTACAAGATTTACATTTCAATATATCAAAATTACATATGACTTCTTTCCACAAATCTTCTTGACTTTCTGATACTTTTGTCTGTTTTCTACAATTAAACGCTCTCTCATCTGCAGTAACAATATTGAGTTGCTGATTAGAATAAATTTTAAAGGTACTTGGGCTAAAAAGTACTTTAGGAACTAAACTACCTGAACAAGAAGGTTCAGCTGCATTGATGGAGGCAATGAGGCTAGAACAGCTGGATCAATTTCACCATGCATAACAGGCTGAAAAAAAAATGATATAAACTATTGTTTTTATTTTTTTAAGCATAGATTACACATCAAATCACAAATTTTAGGTATGGAGTTGGGGAAGCAAACTGGAATGGTGGACATCAAAATAAAACTGAACAGGACATTGTTTTGTTGCAACCGAAAGGCCATCCATAATATATCTAAATTCAAAAAAGGAAGGAAAAAAAACTATGATGCACATTTTATCAATTAGGGATGCCAAGTGTACATATATGATTTACTTACCATCCAAGTCTAGAACAAGAGTAGTTGAAGGGCAACTACGCGTCTGCTTAAGTAACAACAATCGTCTAAAAGTTGGAACCACTGTTGACAAGTCTAGTAAGGTCTTTATGAATAAGTATGGGTCAAAGTCATCAAAATCCTCAAACTCATCCTCCTCTGTGCATATGTCAGAAGACATTGGATCCTGACCGTGCTCATCAACACATTCCAGCTTTGAGTTTTTCATGGCAAGATATATGGCTGAAACTTCCATGGAAAGACCATTTCCATCAAAATCAGAATTGCAACCATTCATATTTCCTGTGCCTAAAGCATGTATCTGATTTCCACAGCTCCCAGAATTAGAGTAGTTGGATGAAATGTTCATGTCTACCTCCATTGTTGTGTCAGATCCTTGAGTGATAGGACCATCTACTGCATCTTCTTAAGGTAACTTTAACTCTTGACATGGAGAAGTTTTCTTCCGGTCTTCATTCTCAAAAATTTTGATAAAATCAACTAGATAGAAACAAAAGAAAAAACATTAAAAAATAATTTAAAAATATAAGAAAATTTCATGGACAAACAGAAAGAAAAGAAAAAAAAAATCAATACCAAGCATAATTAAAATAATACAACGTCATTTACCTCTGTCAACAACTTTTCTCCAGGATTTTTGGATAAGTGAAACCCAGGAGAAAATATAGTTCCAGACTCAAGATGAACAGCTTGATCGTTGCAACCCTGAAGCATTATTTAAATGCATTTAAAAAAACAAAAACAAAAACAAAAAACTGTCAGAATATATCCAATTTATACGAGAACCTTAAAATCAAATCAACATTTCAAAAGAGAAACTTATGACGTTGAGTCATTATGCAATTGACATCTAAGATTAAAAACAACTTTCAGGCAAAAGAGAAACTTATGTAGTAGCATGCACACCCGGACACACATAAAGTAAAAGATCCAAAATAAGAGAAGTAGAAAAGCAGTCTAGTTAAAATACCATAAAATCTAGTGAAACACCATCAACTACATCATTTTCCAAACAAAGATTGGAAGTTCCACTGTCCATAAACTCATATCCATTATTCACATCTGTTGAAGGGATGAGCTCTCTAGCTTTATTCTCAAGAGTGCTAACTGAAGTTACACCAAGAAGATGAGAAGTAAAATCAGTTAATTTCACTTTTTTCTATTGCCAAAAGACACATTGTTTTTGGACCATAATATATTTATACTGGAAATTTCAATTTTTTTTTTAGAAGGTTGAGTTATGCACTGCAAAATATTAAAAGACAAATTAGACATAAAAAGAAATAATTGATATAGCTATCTTAAAAAATGTCAGACCATCACTAGTACTTACAAGATTTATTCTTCCTAGTAGATGATGTAATTAGGTCTATCACTTTCTTTTTAGCAGCTCTTCCATTTTCAGATACCTTCCTTTGTGCTCTTGCAACCTTAGGACTACCACGATCTTGACTGGCATTTTTCCTAGAGGTTTTTTTCTTAGTTTGCATGTCCACTTCAAGAAGAATATGTGGTGAGCTAATTAATTTCTGTGAGAATAATCAAAGCAGCAAAAACAGGTAGAAAAAGACTACCCTGAGAAAGTGCATTTACGAACTGAATTTCAAATATCCCTGACACTTCGAATGTCTAAAATTCAACACTAAGCAATACTTTTTCCATGTTTCTAAAAACCAGGATGAATCTTCATAATAGCTTAAACTTTCAGAGCTCTAATTTCAAATTTTACATCCCCTACTACATTAATCGCATGGGACTATAATTAATACCATTAATATCAGCAAGAATAAAAAGCAGAACAAAAAAACATGATCACACTCAAAATCTGTTACGAAGTAACCATACCAATTTTCAAGAGCTATTGATACATCACCACACTAACTAAAAGTTCAAGGAATTAGTGACTCCTTATTCAAATCAACATGAGTCCACACCCTTCACTAATTTATTTAGAAACTAATGACACTAATAACATCTAAAAACTCACCAAATCAACAATCCATCGTCAATTGTCATGTCAGTATCCAAAATCCGAGCAACAATCCAAAAAAGAAATAGACAAATTCCAACCTTCACATTAAAATCACATGAAACCCTAAAAACACGAAAAAGCCTAAAACATACAGCTATAACAATGGGCATGTGCTAATCGCTTTCTTACTACAGAAATACACGAAAAGTGAGTAAATAAACTGCACCCAATTCTAACCCATCCAACATTCTTCCACTTCAAAGTGAATTTAGATAATTGTTTTCCTTCTATTGGAGTCGAACGACTAATGCAGTCACAAAAAAGGGACAAAAAAAAGTGATCAAAGCTTCGGAATTGACAACGCAAAGCAAAAGGTCATACATGATTAAGCAACAATTTCTCTGTAGTTTTGCAGACTTTAGCTTAGGCGTTTTCGTGCTGGCGGTGGAGGGCGACGACAGTGCGACGCTTGAGGGCAGGGGTTCCACCGTCGAAGACAAAGACCAGCTTGGTGCGGAGGAACATAAGCTTGCAAATGCAACGGAAGAAGCCCAGCAAATGGGCGTTCTGAAACATTTCGCCCTTCTCGTCGCGCATGGCTTTCATAAACTGCACCATCCATATGCTCGCATCTGCAATTAGGGGAAATAAAGGAAGAAGATCGCTTAGTTGATGCGGGGGGAGAGAGAGAACAAAAGTAATAGGGTTTGAGGATTATCAACGGCGAGAGTTTTTTCGGCAAGGGTTTCGACGGAGACGCGGCGACTGACGGGGGGGAGTAGCTCCCAGAGACCGTGGACTCCCATTGTATTCCTATGCGGACTTTTTGTGCGCTGAGTTTCATTGCACGATGATTTGGGTTTGGCTTGGGGTTCAATGTCGTCGGAGTTGGGTTTCGACCTCGAGTTCGTCGACATTGAGGTTCGAAGTCGCTTGGGGATGGAGATGCGTGAAGAAGATGAAGAAAATGCGTGACCAAGTGTGGTTAGGTGCGCGAAGAAGATGAAGAAAATTTGGAAGAAAATTTGGAAACTACGCCAGGTGACAGATAGCGCAAAGAAGATGAAAATTTCAGAGGTCAGATTGTAGAGCGCAAAGAAGGTAAAAATTTCGAAGGGTAATAGAATAATTGAAATAATTACATAAATTAAATTAAATTAAATGTAGATTAATTAAAAAAATAAAATAAAATAAAATAATAAAGTGACTGAAATAGTAACTGATTTTATGTGATCGAAAATACGGTTACTATTTCAATTACTAAACTAAAGAATAATAATTTGGTTACTGATTCGGTCACTTATAGTAACTACATTTTTTAGTCACTGATTTCGGTTATTATTTGACATTTTTCTAGTAGTGATTATATCAACTTTTTATCACTTAATAGACGCGAGAACCAATTTTTCCTATAAAAAGATAGGATGTGTTTTAAGAAAAATAAGCAGTTTTGGGAGAAGAGGCACGACTACTGCTAAGGTTTCGTCTAATCTTCATCAATTCTTCACTTCTTCCACATTTGTAGCATTGTAATGGCCAACATGAATGACTAACTTCATTCTCTTGGGATTTGGTGCATTTCCTTTGAACTCTTTTGTATCATGGTGATATTTTGAGATATTAATTCATGTTTTGATGTTGTTATTCTTATCCTTTGTACTTTGAAATGATTTGTCCTTGATGTTTGGGATATAATTGGAATATATATCTTGAACCCTAGATCACGGTAAGAATATTTGTTATGTTAATTGCAGGAATAGAATGAATGTATCAATTGCTTAACACCCTAAACCTAATGTCGGAAAATCTCTTAATTGTGTGAGGAATCAACATTTATTAGGTTTTCTTATGAAATTCATGTCGTCGCCGTTAAAAAAGGCTGTCGGAGCGACGCGATGGTTCTGACTTCCCATTTTCGCGTTTTATATGCGTGGTGTCACCATGCCTTTAGGTTGTCCGATAACCGGGTTGGACCCAAGGGCAAGGTTTTCAAAAGGGAGCATTTAGGTTGTCCGATAACCGGGCTGGACCTAAAAGCAAATTTTCGAAGGGGTTCTTATGGAGTCGTCACCGATGTTTTGACCGGAAACATCGAAAAAGGAACAAAAGAAGGCGTTGGTTTTTAAGGAAACCAACTTTGGCCATTATAACCAGAGTTGGGTAAGGGAGTTAGTTACGTGTAGGGAAGGTATTAGCATCCCTACGACGCTCCTTTCGGGTTCCCTATGATAGGCCGGTTATTTCGTAAATAAATTAAAAATGACGCTTTTAACCTTTTATTTGCGGAATTAAAAGATAACAACTACATGGCCCTAATTAATGCACATATAAATGATAAAGCGATAAAAGAGGGAGAGAGAGAGTGAAGAAACCTCCGGAGCAAGCTTTAATTAATTCTCTTAAAAAAATAGGGTGCGTTTCGGCAGCCCTTCGCTCTACAACATCGACCTTTCTCTCTTCCATGCTATAAAAACTCTCTAAAGACACTCAGAAAACTCCGGAAATGCTTCGGAGGGGCTCTAGGAGAAGAATTCTAAGAAAATTTAGAAGGAAAGGTGGAAGAACTGTGTGAAATGAAGGGGAGAGCGCTCCCCTTTTATAGGGATTCGTGCCTGTCAGGTCGAGACCGCCGTCTCGCCATTCGGGACGGCGGTCTCATCTTTGACAAATGTCGAGACGGTCGTCTCACCAATCGAGATGGCGGTATCGACTTGCCAAATGGTGAGAGGGACGTCTCGCCAATCGGGAAGGTGGTCTCGGCAATGGCAAGTGGCTAGACGGCCGTCTCGCCAAACAAGACGGTGGTCTCGACTTTACCATTCGGCGAGACGGCAATCTCAACCCTTAAGACGGGAATCCTTATTTTTTGTACAGAAAATTCTTCCTACTCTAATATGGGGCCTAATAGTCTATCTTAGGGACCTTTTAGGCCTTGCCCATCTTCGAATAGGAGGTCTTCTGCTCTTTATTTTGAGGTCGGGCAAGATTTGGGGTCTACAGCTACCCCCCCTTCACCTGACTAGCCGACTGTTGGCCTGTTACGCCAAGAAGATCGGCTGGAGGGTAAAGGGGTTAACCCTCTTGCCCGGCTGTCCTTCGGATGCCCCGTCTTGCGGTGGCTGATCCTCTGGGGAAAAATGTGTTGTGCACCTCCAGGATGTCCCCTCTTGCGGTAGCCGACCCCTTTAGTTGACACATGGTAGAACCTCAAGATGCTCCTTCTTGAGGTAGCCGACCCTTCGGTTGATGAGTATAAACCCCCATCAGGCTGGTAGTTACAGTCCACTGTGCGTAGGACTGGATGAGTATAAACCCCCCATCAGGCTGGTAGTTGCAGTTCACTGTGCGTAGGACTAGATGAGTATAAACCCCCTATCAGGCTAGTATAGTCCACAGCGTAGGACCGGTTGCGACTTACTGCTCTGGCTCGTGTGCAGTCATGCGCACGTCATGCACAAGTTTGATGGGTATGAACCCCCCATCTGGCTGGTACAGTCCACTTCGTAGGACTGGTGGTGGTGGCGGCTTACTGCTTTAGCTCGTGCGTTGTCTTCTTGAAGAATGCTTTCCTGTTTGGATGAAAACATCTGGTGTGTCGGGGATTCTTTCGGCTCTTCCGGTAGTCATCCAGCTTTGTTGTTTGCTGGGGAGTCTTTTGGTTGTTCGACTTTTTCTAGTTGTTGAAAAATTATTGGTCAATGTAGTTGTCTTTCCAGTCTGCTTTCGCTATCGCTTTAACTTTAATCCTGCCTTTTTCCGCGGTTTTATCTTTTTTCTTGCAACTTGGGATTTTGGCTTTTTCGGGACTAAGCGTAAGTCTTTTTACTTTTTAGTCATTTTCGTTACGCTGACTTTTTTCGAAAAGAGAGAATATAGGCGAATGGAAAAATATTTATTCATGATAAAATTTATTACAACAGTTATTTCGGGGTAATATCCCTAAGACGGCGGTGGACTTGAGTCGGGAGACGATCCGGGAGGGGGGAACTGTCGATACATGTGCCTTTGAAACTCTTCCTGGCTCCGGACTGAGCTAAGATGCTCTTGCCGGAGCAGTGTCAGGTCTTGTCTCATCCCCTCCTGTATTTGGCTGAAGGTCTCCAGCCAGGTCTCGAAGATATCCTGTCTCAGGGACATCTGGTCGAACAGTTGGCGCATGTCGTAGATGTTGCGGATGATGCCAGCAAAGTCATCCCCGTACTGCTATTGTTGTTGCCGCTACTGTTACTATTGTTGTTGTTGCTACCAAAATTCCAGGGGCGTCGGCATGTCCTGCATCGCCACCAGATCCTGAAGGTCCAGGTTCATGACGAGCGATGGGTGGAGAGCCATCTGGGTCCCTTGCCGGATGAGCATCCCCATGCTAACAAGCATAGACCCGCTGATGTATTTAGGTCGAAAATCGGAGGGGATGCTCTCTCCGCCGCGGCACCCCCACTTCTCAGCTAGTGGGGTGATGAGGGGACCCATGAGGATGGCTCCCACAAGACGACACCCAAAATTTTTAAGGATTGAACCGGTGCCCATGGAGCATGTAGTGCAGGGCAAATAGGTTAGGATGGGTGACCTTTCCCTGACTCTCCTTTCGCCCATGAATGGTCCCCGCCAACAGCTTGCGGCAAATGCGGAGAGAGGGGAGGAGAGCGGACCCCTTCAGTAGGGTCGGCAGGACTTGCGCACCGGTGAGCTCCTCCCACATCTCACCGGCTGTGAGGGTAGGCGATCGCTCACAGACGGCTCCCTAATACCCTGGGGTCAGGATATCCTCGGGCTGTACGAAGTCGATGGAGACGTTGAATTCATCCAATGTCGTAGTCCGGTAAGACCCATTCATGAAGTAGGAGACCATCTTGACTGGAGGGATGCCTGGGATCATTGTGGGGAGCTCCATCAGCGTAATGGAGGCAAGGAACTCCATTACTGCCTGCATGTATATGCGGGTGGGAGGAGGCTGGAGGAGGAAGTCTCACCCAATGCTCTCAATGAACCCCCGCACCTCATCCTCCCATCCAAACTCCGCGAGGATGCGGAAGTCCAACCTCAGCATGGGATGCCAGGTATAGCCCCAGATGTGCTCGAGCCGGGCCTGGTGTTGCGGCGTTAGTTGGGTCAGGTCCGGGGGAGTCGGGGCTATAGATGTGCTTGGGCCAGAACCCCTGCCCCTCTTCCTAGAAGTCTCTCCTCTATGCATTTTTATGAAAAGTACTCAAAAATGAAAAAAAATATGTATGAGGATGTAGAAATGGATGCCTAGAACCAACCCCAAGACCCCTATTTATAGATTTTCATTGCAGGGTCAAGACCGCCGTATGGGATTTTGGGACGGCGGTCTCGATTTTGCGAGACTCGGGACCGCCGTCTGGAACTTCGAGACGGTGGTCTCGTTTTGGATTTATGGCGAGACGGCCTTCTCACCAAGCGAGAAGGCAATCTCGTTTTTGTCCAAAGCGAGACGACGGTCTCGAAATTTGGGAAGGTGGTCTCATTTCTACGCAGGTCGAGACGACGGTCGGAGAAGTCGAGACGGCGGTCTCGAATTTTAGAAGATTTTTTTTTTTGAAGAAAGAATAGGACCTAATTCAAAAATATTTTATGCATGCAATGTTTTCATGTTTGATGTCCTATAATGCTATTTCATTAGTATTTTCAGAAGGATTAACTGGTATGTCTTATAGACGGGGGGCCCTTTGAGGTTTTGCTTCTCTGTTGTACTCGTTTGTGCCACTCCAGACTTAACGTGGCCGAAGAATGACTTTTGGTTTGGAGAGCACACTTTGCCATGTCGGTGCCCTTTTTCCTTGTTTTAGGGATTTCTATCCTCTTGTTGATTATACACCTCCATAT